ATAAAACAGGTATTGCGCAACTGGGCCATAGAAACAGGCATATAGACCAATGGAACAGAATAGAGATCTCAGAAATAAATTCACACATCTATAGCCACATGACTTTTGACAAAGGTTCCAATAACAAATATTGGGGAAACGAATCTCTTCGTAAATGTTGCTGGGAAAGCTGGATATCCACATGCAGAAGAGTAAGACTAGACCCCTAGCTCTCACCGCATACAAAAATCAACTCAAAATGGATTAAAGACATAAATGTAAAATCTCAAACTATGAAACTACTAAAAGAAATCAGAGAAACGCTTCATGACATTGGCCTGGGGAAGGATTTTAAAAATAATACCTCAAAAGCACAGGCAACAAAAGCAAAAACAAACAAATGGAATTACATCAAACTTAAAAGCTTTTTTTTTTTAATTTGAAAGGAGATCTCAAAAACTATAAAGCTTTTGCACAGCAAGAAACTATTAACAGAGTGAAGAGACAACCTATAGAATGGGAAAAAATATTTGCAAACTATACATCTGACAAAGGATTAACATCCAGAATCTATAAGGAACATGAATATAATTCAATTGCAACCCACCCCCAAATAACCCAATTTAAAAAAGGGCAAAAGACCTGAATAGATATTTCTCAAAAGAAGACATACAAATGCCTAACAGGTATATGAAAAAATTCTCAACATCACTAATTGCTATGGATTGAATATAATTTGTTTGTTCCCTCAAAGTCTCATGTTGAAATTTTATCTTCAACGTTGGAGGTGGGGTCTGGTGGGAGGTGTCTGGATCATGGAGGTGGGTCCCTCACTAATGCCTTGGTGCCATTCTTAAGGGAGTGAGTGAGTTCTCACACTCAGTTCCCATGAGATCTGGTTGTTGAAAAAAGCCTAGCACCTATCACCATGTGATCTCCCCGTACCTTCCATCATGAGTGGAAGCTTTGTGAGACTATCACCAGAGGCAGATGCTAAAGTCATGCTTTTTGCACAGCCTGCAGAACTGTGAGCCAAATAAACCTTGCTTTTTAATAAATTAGCTAGCTCTAGATATTCTTTTGTAGTGACACAGACTAAGACACTAATCATCAGGGAATACAAATGAAAACTACAATGAGATACCAACTTACTCCAGTTAGAATGGCTGTATCAAAAAGACAAAAGAAAAGTGTTAGCAAGGATGTGAAGAAAAGGGAACACTCACACGGTGCTGGGATTGTTAACTAGTACACCCATCATAGAAAACAGCATGGAAGTCTCTCAAAAAATTAAAAATAGGAATAGCATATTATCCAGCAATCTCACTACTGGGTATATATCCAAAAGAAATTAAATCAGTATGTCAAAGAGGGGTCTTCACTCCCATGTTTATTGCAGCACTATTAACAATGGCCAAATGTCCAACAAGGGATGAATGGGTTAAGAAAATGTATATATACATGATGGAATACTATTCAGTCATAAAAAGAATGAAACCTTGTCATTTGTGACAACATGAATGAATCTGGAGGATATGTTAAGTGAAATAAGCCAGGCACAGAAAGACAAATACCACATGATCTGATCTCATTCATACATAGAATCTTAAAGAAAAAAAAAAAAAGTTAGTATCATAGAGACAGAGAATATAACAGTGATTATCAGAGATTGGGGAGGGAAAGAGGCACAGGGTGAAGGGGTGAAGGTGGACAATGGGTACAAAGTTACAATTAGATAGAAAAGAATAAATTCTGGTGTTATTTGCACATTAGAGTGACTACAGTTAACAGTATAATACTGTATATTACAAAATAGCTAGAAGAAAGACTCTTGAAAGTTCTCACCACAAAAAAATGACAAATGCAGAAGTGGCAGATATACTAACTTCCCCATTTGGATCATTACTCAACATAGATATGTATCAAAACATCAAATTATACCCCATATATATGTACATTACAATGTGTTCATTAAAAAATTAATAATTTTTTTAAAAAAGATTACATGTTATTTATCTGGTCACAGGTTTGTCTGCTGGAAAGCTGGAACAGGGCAACTTTATCTCTTAGCTTGCACAGAGAAACTAGTAAACCAGGGCCTTAACTGCCCAACCACTGCTCCCAATGTGTATAACTGAACCATCACTAGGAAAGAATTCTACATGGGCTTCAGATCATGAAGTTTAAAGTCCTAGTCTGTAATTTATTAACTATGTGGTCTTGGACAAATTACATCACATTCCTAAACCTTGGTTTTCTTATTTATAAAATGAGTAATATTACATGTGTTTGCCTTCTGTTAAAAAAAAAAGAAAAAATAAATAAAATAAAATGAGTAATATAATATCTACCTCAAAGAGTTTAAGGATAATTTAAGGATTAATAATTACTTGCAGAAAGTACACACAAAAGTGTATGCATGCACATACATATGCCTATATATAAGGAAGTGGGTGTATATGTATATGTGAATGTGTGTGTGTGTGTGTATATGACTAAAAATGCCTAGCTTAGTAGCTCCAGAACTTGATAAACAGTAGCAATTGTTATTATTATTAATACTAACAAGATTATATTATTAATTACTTCTAAATATAAGCATAATTACTTATACAATTTGGAGTCGTTTAGATTTGAAATCATGAAATTATAACATGAAGTGCATAACTTAAGTTAGAATCATTCAAGTAGAAACCCTTTCAATTTACCATTCATTATTCACACAACTGTACATAATGATTTTCAAATCTTATGGGGTACAAAAGTGAAAATTATGATTGATTCTGCTTTAAGGATTACCTTTCTAAACTGTCTACTCAGGTAAAGACATATCATTAAATTATTTCTTTAAAACATCTTTCGCCTCCCCCTACAAGAGTTCACTGTAGATGCTCAGAAAAAGCTGAATGAAATGATATGATGAGGCCGGGCGCGGTGGCTCACGCCTGTAATCCTAGCTCTCTGGGAGGCCGAGGTGGATGGATTGCTCGAGGTCAGGAGTTCAAAACCAGCCTGAGCAAGAGCGAGACCCCGTCTCTACTATAAATAGAAACAAATTAATTGGCCAACAAATATATATAGAAAAAGTAAGCCGGGCATGGTGGCACATGCCTGTAGGATGTGCTTGAGCCCAGGAGTGTGAGGTTGCTATGAGCTAGGCTGACGCCATGACACTCACTCTAGCCTGGGCAACAAAGTGAGACTCTGTTTTATAAAAAAAAAAAAAAAGGATATGATGAGTGATGGAATGGTTATGAATTTTAAAATATTCATAAACTAAAAGAAAGTTTTAAAATGTGAATTCAGAAATAAAATCAGTAACAGCTGGCTTATTTAACATTATTATGGACAAGCAATATAATCTATAAGCAAGAAATACTGAAATCATCCATGTAACTTATTATTCCATGAAAATGCTTTGCACAGATTTCTGCAGTTACCCCCACACATACTGGTCATAGCACTAAAGCTATCACTGGATCTGTGTCCTGTACAGGCAGGTCCAAAGCCAACAACCTTACCAAGAGTGGCAAAGCTGCAGACTCTCAAAGGGAAAGTGTCCAAAAAGAACCTCAGATTTTCTTGCTGTGACATGTATATATACTTTTATAGATACTTACATACCTTTACATACTATAACTCCCACCTACCCCACATAGTATAGTACATTCCAGTTTATATATATTTCACAGACAGTATCTCATTTGAGCATCATGACAACCCTGTTAGGTAAACATGAGAGATACTAGAACCCCACTTAATAGATGAGGAGGCAAGGCGCCGTGGCTCACGCCTGTAATCCTAGCACTCTGGGAGGCCGAGGTGGGTGGATTGCTCGAGGTCAGGAGTTCAAAACCAGCCTGAGCAAGAGCGAGACCCCGTCTCTACTATAAATAGAAACAAATTAATTGGCCAACAAATATATATAGAAAAAGTAAGCCGGGCATGGTGGCGCATGCCTGTAGTCCCAGCTACTCAGGAGGCTGAGGCAGGAGGATCGCTTGAGCCCAGGAGTTTGAGGTTGCTGTGAGCTAGGCTGACACCACAGCACTCACTCTAGCCTGGGCGACAAAGCAAGACTCTGTCTCAAAAAAAAAAAACAGATGAGGAAACTAAGATCGAGTAACATGTCCAAGGTAACACAGATATAAAATAAGGCTGAGTATCAGGCCAACAGTCTTTCTACTACAGGACAGTTTTACCCCTAAATAGTTAAAATTTTTTGATAAATGTGCTATGAGTCCTCAAAAATAAAACAGTAGGAAAGTATTGGGCTAAAAAGACGGAAAATTGGGATCTGAATCTCGCTCTATAATTTTCTGAATCTCGCTGTATAATTTTCTATCTGTATATGCTGGAAATTTTACTTAACTCATCAGAGCCTCAGTTTTCTCATCTGGAAAACCTATCAAGACAGAGTAATATCTATCTTTCAGGATTACAATGAAGAGTAAACGAGAAAATGTATATAAAGGGCCCTCTTCAATAATATCTGTGTTACAGCAGATGTTTAATAAATAGTAGCAACTATTTCTTATTTTCCTTTTTCTCTATGGATTGGCTATCTCAGATGCTAACAAATAGGATTATCTTAAAGATTTTTTCTAGTTCTAAAAGGCTATTTTTCTACAGGAGAATGAGCTATTCCTTTCTATATTAAAAGAAATTCTAGGGTTTCTGAATGTGGGTCACATTGCTCCTATCCATAGCTTCTCAAAATGTTTGGAAAAACTTAACAAGCAATGTGTTCATTAAAGAAAGTGTAACTTACCAATAGCTTTGCAGCTTGAACACGAACCACCCAGGAGCCATCACTGACCATGTGACAAATTTTTCCAAACGCATCGTCAACTAAGCGAATTTCTTCATTAGAAGAAGGGATTGGGACAATGCTAAATTAAAAGAAATCACATATGATAAAACATGATCCTAAGGCTGCAGATTCAATAAACTGAGAATGACTAATGAAGACTGACACACATGGAAATGATAATTGAATAGTTCATATCCTAGAATAAAATATATTTCAGAGTAAATAAATCACCGTGGGAGTATGAAGGAACCCTTTAAGTTGCATTGCAAATTTTCAGGGTCTTCAATAAAACGGTATAACCAACCAAAAGCTAAGAGATTTATGCAGATACCAAAAGCTAGCTATAAGAGTATTTTATATCCTTAAGTTTAACATCTCCTATAACTGAACTGCTATACATACAGTAAATCTCAGAATAAATCAATATAAAGCCTGCTCACCACTCTGGTCCTAAAAGAAGAGACAATTTCCAATTAGTCTTTATTTGTGTATGTGTCTAAATCCTAAAAATCTACAAATAGAGGCTACTCCTGTAGGTTTATTAACTCATTCTGGTTTTCAAATTTTGGCAGTTTAATAAAGAGGAAAGAACACCTCTTTTTCCTATAGAAGGAGCTCTTCCATAAAATGGAAAAAATATTTTTCTTTCCACCTCAAAGAATCACTTTTAGAATCAATGATTTAATTTCTGTGAAAACATTTTTAACCAGGAAAACAGTACGTAAGGATTCATTTTTCTCAAATTCACCTGGTACCTTTATCTGGCATTTGGCCCAAACCATATGAAATTAAAATGAGTCCCAAACAATTCTAAAGAGTTATTTTAAAGTGCTGAAAAGCACTTAAGGAAGATATCCCAATTTCTTCACTTACAGATCAGAAGATTGGGAGCCAAAGAAATAAAGTATCTTTCCCAGGGTGCACAGAGATCAAAAACTCCTAACAGAGATGAAAACAAGGACCTGGCATCCTGATTTTCAGGGCCTGTGCTTTTCTCCTAGTTCACAATATCTTCTAAAAATCTAACCAACATTCCTTTTCTAGAGATGGGCTTTTTACATGGTGAGAAGAGAGAAATGGCTTAGCAATGAACAAAAGCTGGCTTACACCCACACTTACCTTTCAGGATAGAGCTGACTAACAACCCAGATAAGTTGGACTGCAGCACTGCGCACTTGTTCATAGTCATCAGAGAGCAATTTACAGGCCTGCAATGAAGGATTCAAAAAGTTCTGTGTCCTGGCAGGAAATGTTCAAATTATTTTTAAAATGAAGATAGGGTGGCTGGTTAAGGATGCCAAATAAAATACTTATGGGTGGTTTTAATTTCTTGAACCTTTGCCCAACAAAGAAGGCCAACCTTTGCTTGGCCTCTGTAAGCTGCTCTGGCAGCTTACTGTGAGCCCTTCTTCCCCAACTAACTTTCCTTCCTCTAAGTACTTACTCTCCAAGTTAACTTTAATTATTTGGCTTCCCATATAATTTTCCAATAAGAACAGAAGATAATGGTCACACCAACACAAGCATCCTGGACCCATTCTACTTCATTTTGTAAAAGAATAAAAATGGTTTACAGAGCAGTTACAGGAGCTTGGCTACTTGCTATCTTCCCCTGAAATAAAACCACTTTTGGCAGGCTAATAAAATCTGCGATCTTCTCTGAGCATGGATTTAGATTGTCTGTTACCAGATTCATTCAATTATGCTCTAAGGGACATATCACCTTATAAGGCCTTTTGGTTTGGTTGTCAATCAGCTTTTCCATAACTTCATTAAGCCTTTCTTTATTGATAATATATCATATGACATCTTTTCATATGATCCTATGGTCTTGGTCACCTTTCTCCATACACATTCTAGTTTGTCTCAAGTGTGGTGACTAGAAATGACCATGTATGGTCCAGAGATCAGCAAGATTATCACTTTTCTTATTATAAATACTATGCTTTTCTTCATGCATTCTGATATTCATATTGAGCTACTCAAATCCTCCTAAAAGTCCTTCTCACATGTATTAGTGCTATAGAATTACATATCCCCCATTCTGTCTCTGGAAAGTATGTTTTGGGTATGACTTCACAATCACCCCGATTAATGTTGCCACTATCAGCCAGCTAAATCCTTATGTTTTCAAATTCCAAAAACCAATGTGCCATCCTCCCAGCTTTATAATAGTACCCCTCCCCTTCCAGATGAGAATTATATAATCATACCTGATTATAAATTGTTTGATGTAATTTCAGTCCTCTTTCATGGAGCTGCAACTAGACAATAAAGACCTGGTTTAAGTATTTGGGAGCAAAAGATCAATATTTCCAATGTCTTCCTATAATCTCACATATTTTCCCCTATTATAGCACACTTACATAATTCTTTTAGCCAAAATCAGTGTTATATAAATGAGAAACCAATCCTACTAATGGATATCTACCCAAAGAAAAAGAAATCATTACAAAAATCAAAAAGATATCTGCACTCATGTTTGTCACAGCACTATTCAAAATAGCAAAGATACGGAATCAACTAAGTATCAATGGATTACCAGATAAAGAAAATGTGATATACATACACAGTGGAATACTATTAGGCCATAAAACAAAATGAAACCATGTCTTATGTGTAACATGAATGGAACCGGAGGCCATTTTCATAAGTGAAACAACACAGATGCAAAAAGACAAATACTGCATGTTCTTACTTGTAAGTAAGAGCTAAATAATGTGTACACCTGGAGAGAAAGTATGGAAATGACAGACAATGGAGACTCAGAAGCGTTGGGGGTGGGAGTGTGGTGGACGTTGAGAAATTACTTAGTGGGTACAATGAATATTATTCTGGTGATGGATATGCTAAAAGCCCTGAATTCACCACTATGCAATTTATCTATGTAACAAAATTACATGTATACACCATAAATTTATACCAATGTCAATTAATAAATAAATAAGAAAGAAAGAAACCTGGTCAAAAAACTTTTCAGTAGGCCGGGCGTGGTGGCTCACTTTGGGAGGCCGAGGCGGGCGGATTGCTCAAGGTCAGAGTTCGAAACCAGCCTGAGCGAGACCCCGTCTCTACCAAAAATAGAAATACATTAATTGACCAACTAAAAATATATATACAAAAAATTAGCCGGGCATGGTGGCACATGCCTCTAGTCCCAGCTACTCGGGAGGCTGAGGCAGTAGGATCGCTGAGCCCTGGAGATTGAGGTTGCTGTGAGCCAGGCTGACGCCACGGCACTCACTCTAGCCTGGGCAACAAAGTGAGACTCTGTCTCAAAAAAAAAAAAAAAAAAAAACTTTTCAGTAGAAACAGTCAAGCATTTAATAAACCTAATCCATGGACTGTCCCAAGGGGATACTAGAAAAACATGAAATAATGATCTGAAGGCTAAGGAAGAAATGGTTACCATTTCTCTCTGTTATAATACGATACTAAGTCAGATCCCTCCCTGCTGAAGGGAATGTAACAGGTACAGGTTGCACCTTCCATGTTTCAGAAGTACAGATGAAAGTTACCAGAGAAGTCATTTGTTATACAAGAATGTGTACAGTTGAATTCCACGTTACCACCAGTAATACCTTCCTGAAAGTGTGCGTAAGGTGAATGCTGGGGAGATTCAGAATATATCCAAAGTAACAGTAGTCATGAACTTAAAAAAAAGCAGAGCAGGGGAACCTCAAATGAAAACTACCCCCAATTAGTTTCCATAATCACATTTACCATGGCTTTTATAGCTGCTGTTCTGACACGTGGATCTTGGTCACTGAAGTAATCCCCTATAATTTTCTGGACATCTCTGGCAGCTAAGCCTTCTGCATCTTTTGTGACACTTTTCTCCAAAGAGCCAAGATTGCCAAGTAATCGTAGGCACTTATTTCTTACACCATGAGAGGTATCTGTTAAGTGCTATATAAAAAAAGAGGAACAAAAGGACACGATTAAGATACCTTTAAAAAAACACAAAACCAGAAACAAAAGCACTGTATCAATGCTGGGGATGATTTCAACCACTATGTTCTCACCAGTCTTTCCAGCATCATGTTATTTAAGTATGCGTCTTCCCCAAAAAGCACGAGTCCTTAGAAATTAAGAGCCCCATCTTTCCATCTTTGTATTTCCAATAGCTACTGGCACTTTACCTTACACAAAGTAGGTGCTTTAAAATTTATCCCTGAATTAAAATTATTTGCTATCAATTTTTTTTTTTTGAGAAAAAGTCTCACTCTGCCACCCTGGGTAGAGTGCAGTGGCATAGCTCATTGCAACCTCAAACTCCTAAGCTCAAGCGATCCTCCTGCCTCTGCCTCTCAAGTACCTGGGACTACAGCCATCATGACTGGCTAATTCTTCTATTTTTTGTAGAGGTGGGGATCTTGCTCTTGCTTAGGCTGGTCTCAAACTCCTGAGCTCAAGGAATCCTCCTGTCTTGGCCTCCCAGAGTATTAGAATTACAGGCATGAGCCACCATGCCCAGCCTTTGCTATCAAATTTTAAAACAAGACAAAAATGTATATATTTTTAAAACTTTTAATACTCATACCAAAATATGCAAAAATCTTAAGTATACAGCTCAATTTTTACAAAGTGATTACACACTTATAACAATCACCCAGATAAACAGTATATAACATCCCACATGCCCTCTCCAAGCAACTACCCCACTACACCATCACCACCAAAAATAGTTACTATCTGACTTCTAACACATAATTCATTTTGCTTAGCTTTGTACTTTATAAACTGAAACACTGTCTGGCTTCTTTTTTTTTTGAGACAGTCTCACTTTGTTGCCCAGGCTAGAGTGAGTGCCATGAGCGTTAGCCTGAAACTACCACAACAACCTAAAATCCTGGGCTCAAGCGATCCTCCTGCCTTAGCCCCCGAGTAGCTGGGACTACAGGAATGTGCCACCATGCCCGGCTAATTTTTCTATATACCACAGTTAACCGGGAATTATATTGTTCTATTTATAGTATAGACGGGTCCGCTCTTGGATCAGGCGGTTGAACTGCCTGACCTCAAAGCAATCGCCTGCCTCGGGCCTCCTACGGATGCTAGGTTACAGCGTGGAGCCCACCAGCGCCCGGCCGGCTTCTTTTGCTACTATCGGTTAATGAGATCATCCAGTATGGCACATATCGTCAGCTTTGCATCATTTATAAATATGCTAACATTTATTTAGCTTGGTCTGGTTGATGGATAGTTTGAGTTATTCTAATTTTGGTTTTGAAAGCATATGATTACTCTCTTGTGGATGGGCGTTGTGGTGCACATTTCCCGTTATTTTTGTTGAAGAGAGGCACTTGAGAGTGAATGTAGCGTATCGGACAGTGACAGTATCAGGTGGCAGCTTAAGATAGATATCTGCCAAACAGGTTTGCCAGAAATCATTGGTGGCGAATTACGACTACCGCCCACCAGGCGCATAATGTTTTCATTGGTTGCCATGATCCTGTCAGCGATGTTAATAGCGTATTAGTATATCTGTTCATGAGTTGAGCCTTTTCTCACGCGAGCATTTGGAATAATTATCGTTTGGCTCGTGGCCCTCTTGGCATGCTACCCTACTCCCAATGCTAACAAACAAGGCAGTTACAGGAACTAAAAAAACTTTGAAGAAATAAGGATGTACATTAGGAGACAAAAAATAGTGTGGAACTCTGGCTTTCAAACTTTTTTTGACTGAGACCATAGTAAGAAATATACATTATATTGCAACATAGTACACAAAAACACATACACAGAAAGTTTAACATAACAATATTTACCCTTAAAAAATTTACCGCTGCCATGCCGGTGGCTCAACGACCTGAATGCCTAGCACTCTGGGAGGCAGACAGGAGGATCGTTTGAGCTCAGAGGTTCGAGATCAGCCTGAGCAAGAGTAAGACCCTGTCTCTACTAAAAATAGAAATTAGCTGGACAACTAAAAAATATAGAAAATTAGCAGGCATGGTGGCACATCCTGTAGTCCCAGCTACTCGGGAGACTGAGGCAGAAGGATTGCTTAAGCCCAGGAGTTTGAGGTTGCTGTGAGCTAGGCTGATGCCACTGCATTCTTCCCTAGCCAACAGAGTGAGACTCTGTCTCAAAAAAAAAAAAAAAAAAAATTTACCCTTGCATTTTGTGATGCACTCTGATAATTGTATTTTGTTTTCAAAAAATACTAATCATGTCCCATGAAATTGATTACATTACCTACTAATGAATCATGCTCTTCAGTGTGAAAGACACTGGTGAGGAGAAAAGTGAATGGGACTTACGTGGGTTCACAGAGCTCCTTACAGAAATGGCTAGTTTCAGAAGTGGGGGAAAAACATTAAAGTCTCTATATTTAATATTAAATATTAAACTCAACTATCATTTTCTTTTGAAAACCCTCACTGAATTCTTTAATTTGGTTAAGCTCTACCCCACATCATCTTTTGAATCAATTAAAATAATTTTAATTAAGAAATCCTGCCCTAATCTTACCTACTTGACAAACTACTATTTGTCTTTCAAAATTCAAGAGAGATGTCACCTCTTCCAGAATGCTTTCCTTAATACTTCTCCTCTTACTCTCAAAGACTTTTTTCACTCCTTCCTCTGAACCATGTTTATACCTTATAGTTACTCCTATTATTGCATGAAGTATATTATAATGTATAGTATTTATTTCATAAGTATCACTACTGGCTCTTGAATTCCTTAAAGAAACTCATTTCTCCAAGGAAGATATATAGACGGCCAATAAGCATATGAAAGGATGCTTAACATCACTAATCACTAAGTAAAGCAAATCAAAACCACAAGAAGATATTACTTCATATCCATTAAGATAGCTACTGTCAAAAAGGAAAAAAAGCCTGGCGCGGTGGCTCACGCCTGTAATCCTAGCACTCTGGGAGGCCGAGGCGGGTGGATTGCTCGAGGTCAGGAGTTCAAAACCAGCCTGAACAAGAGCGAGACCCCGTCTCTACTATAAATAGAAAGAAAATTAATTGGCCAACTAATACATACAGAAAAAATTAGCTGGACATGGTGGCGCATGCCTGTAGTCCCAGCTACTCGGGAGGCTGAGGCAGTAGGATCACTTGAGCCCAGGAGTCTGAGGTTGCTGTGAGCTAGGCTGCCGCCATGGCACTCACTCTAGCCTGGGCAACAAAGTGAGACTCTGTCTCAAAAAAAAAAAAAAAAAAAAAAATTTGCAAAAAGGAAAAAAAAAGTGCTGTCAGAATATGGAGAAATTGTAACCCTTGTGCATTGACACTAGTGATGTAAAACAGTGCAGTCATTGTGGAAGACAGTATGGCTGTTCCTCAAAAAATTAAAACTTAAATTACATATGGTCTGACATTCCCTTCTCAGTAAAATACCTCAATAAGGCTGCCATAAGAAAACACCAAAGGCTGGGTAGCTTAAACAACAGAAATTTATTTTCTCACAGTTCTGGGTCTAGAATCCAGATCAAGGTATTGTAAAATTCAGTTCCTGGTGAGGACTCTCTTCCAGACTTCCAGACAGCTGCCCACTCACTGGTCCTCATATGGCCTCTTCCCATGTGCATGGAAATGAGAGCTCTGGTCCTCTTTCTCTTAGTCCTTTGGATTAGGTCACCCTTATGACATCATTTAACCTTATTTTACTTCCTGAAAGGCCTAATCTCCAATACAGTTAGTTATATTAGGGTTAGAGGTTCAACATATGAATTTTGGAGGGACATAATTCAGTCCAAAAGAATACCCAAAATAATTGTAAGCAGGGACTTTAAGAGATTGTTTGCACACCATGTTCATAAGCACAT